TTTTTTTTTTTTATTAAATGAAAAAATTGTAGTGCCCTGTTTGGTTGTTTTGTTCGATTAAATATGATATCGAACAAAGCTACATTGCACAAGAAGGTATATAACACGAGAAAAATGCACTGGTTGTCGTAATGAAAATTGGGGTAGATGAATTAATCAGGTTATTTTCCAAACTAGAGTAGTCTTTTCTAAAAAAAATTGACTTCTTAACAGTGAAATTAACATTTTCTATTAGATAGAAATTCGACCTTACATCATTCAATAGTTTAATAGTTAAAACTTCGCTTTTAAAAATTGAAGAGCTACTTTCTTGATGAAATGTTATAGATTCCAACCTTAATTTTCTTCACCGAAATAAGCTCATGTTTGGTCTTCATTATAATTTAATACTTTTTTTATTCATTTTAACCACATTCTCCAATAAAATAATATTAATTTAAATAAAAACAATTCTTTCTTTTGTAACCAAAATATATTGTTTTAAAAAATTCATTATAATAGATCCCAAACAAGATCTAAACTAGAACTCAAATAATATGCAATCCAAGAAAACACCCACGTGTCAAAAATCGAATACAAGTACAAAAGAAAAAATAGAGAACCTGGAGCGTGGCTTAAACATGTAACAGGCGCAGCTTAAGGCTTTAGCCGGCTTTTACAAGTAGACCGGGAGATAGCGCCAGCTTGTCCGAACCTTAAAAGTATAATAACGTGATTGCACAATTTCCTATATAGCTATGTAAACGAATCGAGCCACGAGTCGAAACTCAAAGCTCAGGCTCGACTCGAGCAAACCAGGTCCTATCTTTTTTGGGCTAGAGCCTTGCTTGGCCAAAAAAATGAGGCTCGACCCGAACCTTAGCGAGCCGGGCCGAGTCGTGTTTTTTTTAAATTCGTTATAAATCCATAATTTTTTCTAATCTATTTAAAATTTGTGCAATTTATACGTATTATAAATCATAACTAAAAATATTAGTATATATAAAAAACACATTTAAATTTAAAAGAAAAATTAAAAAAATTAGAATTTTTTTTTTTAATATTACTTAGTCACGGGCCGGTGAAGAGCCATGGGCAGGACAGGGCTAGAGCAAACGCCCCAAAATGGAGCTCGGCCCCAGCCTTGACCGAGCCCGAGCCGGGGTTGACTCGGGTTTTTTTCGGGTCGAGCTTAAGCCGCCCGAGCCTACGAATTTTTTGCCATCCCTATTCCCGTCTAACTTTCCATCCCTCCTTCCATTGTTAACCACTAAGCATTCCCAATTTAACCTTTTTAATAGGAGACACTCAGATAAGACTTGGTTGTGTAAAAATGACTAGTGACATTTTTCGAAAGAACTCTGTTTGGCTAATTCACAAATTATTTTAATAAACCTTTAAAGAGTAAAATTACATGTACGAAAATTATTTGTGTGTAGTGTATGATATGATGAGGGTCATAAAACTAATAAAATTATTATCATATTCACACATTTAATTGACTATGTGAACTACACTGTCGAAATTTTTAAATACACGTAATCCCGTGCATTATGTGAGAGGGAAT